TCACCTCTCTGAAGAGGGGAAGTTATTTCTACAGCCTGGACTGGGAGTGGCCTTGTACCATTGGACTCACCAGGTGTGCAGAGAACTGGAGATACCAGGACAGACCTCTGCATTGCACACACAGGCCCCAGCTACTGGTTGTGTTACTTAACAAGAAGTGACTCTTTCCTACGGGACATTGTAAGACAGTGTTTGATAATAATAAATGCTTACATAGGATTTGTAAGGCACTTTTTTAATTTCTTGACAATGATTAAGTCATTTAATATTTACAAATCAATGAGATTAGTGTTATTGTAATTCTCATTTTACATATATGAAAATATAACATGGAAAAATTATATAACTTAGATAAGATCGCATAGCTAGCAAGTGACAATTTAACTTTGGAAAGGACCATGCTGTTACTTATGACTCAGAGCCATAATATTTGGGATGAAGTAATAACTTTTACTGAAGATGAAAAAGAAGATTTTTTTAAAAAAATACCATTTTCCATTACCTTATGCACGACATGTAATTTTTCTGTGTCTTTAGTGTTATAGTTAGTAATTTGAAATTCCATGGGAAATTATATCTTTTAAATACCAGATTGATATTAGCAATCCTTTATATCTACATAAATAAAATTTTCTCATATTGTATCTGAATAAATTAATAGAAGGTGCTATGGAGGGCATTAGAAGGGCTTCTCTCTTCAAAAGCCATTAACCTAAGTCTAGCTCTTTGAGTCCCATTGAATTTTAAATGCATTTTCTAATTTTAAAATCTAGGAACAAAACTCTGACATTGCAAGTAATTAAATTCATTCTGAGAAAAGTGTGTATGTGCGAGTAGTATTGCATTCGAACAGAATACTAATAGCAAACAGTGGGAAGTTTTGTTGGTTCCTCTGAGCCCTGGATGAACCTTGACCTATTTCAAATAACTCTGCAACTCATCTAAAACATTCCAGGTCACAAGTACAGCATTTACATGAAAACATAAATGCCATAGTATAAGATTTCCCTCACTTCAATGACTACATTTCCTAAATCAGAAAACCTTCCAATTTTAAGTATGCCAAAGATAGCATTGGTGTGTGGAGTCACAGATTAATAGCTTCCATAAATAGGTAACCCTTTGTCAAAGACCCAGTTCTAGAACTAAACATTTTACATAACACTATGACCATGTTTTGATGTCAAATTTCCAATCACTATTTTAAAGCCATAAAAAGAAATCTAAAATTGGCTTATTCCTATTTTTTTTTGCGGATTATTAAATATCACAGTCCAGATTTTTAAATCATTCCAGTGTTTGCAGATGGGGATAAAATTGGAAAGAGCTAGGAAAGCAATAATTTCAAGAAAGCAGGCATGTCAGTATCCTACAGAATATGGCCACAAAATAAGAAAGGGCTCTTGGGGAAAACAAGAAGCCTTTGTACCAATCACAAGACATTGGTTCAGCACAGCAAACACTTGTGAAATTAGAAGCAAACGTAATCGTCAACATACTGAATGCCCTTTCCATCATCCTCATTTATCAGTCATTTATCTCCTCTAAATACATCTTATTTTCTTCAAATGTTCTCTTTATCACAAAAGGAAAATCAATTTCCTACAATAAATACACTTACATTTTTACCCCTAATGCAGATATTTAGGAAACTGAAAGACATATTGATGGATTCCAATCAGGAAAAGCAGCACCATGGGGGGAAGGCTGAAACCAGTAGACTCAATTCAAGCATTTGAGATGACCAAGCTATGTGACTTTGCACAAACCATTTAACCTCTTGAGCCAGTTTCCTCTTCTGCAAAGTGGAAAACCTGCTTGACACAGGTTTTTATGAAGATAAAAAGAGATCATCACTGTAGCCCACTGGGTCATATGTGCTATGAGCATGTCAAATGTTGTACAGGATCTTTTTCAAAAATCATGTTATTAAACTCTTCAGATCAAAGGCATGAGACCTGATATCTGTTGTTTCTTTGTTAAAAGTGGGAGACTTGCAAGTGTTGGGAAGTTGTTAAAGGCAAAGAAGCTTCAAAAATGAGATTTTTCTCTTGATGCAATCAAAATGATGGAAAAAGAATTAAACCAGGAATAGCAGTTATTTAACGTTTAATGAGCACCTAAGTGCTTTATAAGGACCAAATCATCTTTGTTTCACCTAAAACCATCTCTGCTTCAACCATGATAGGCATCCCACACTTTGGAAAACAACCAACCGAAAAAATTCTTCTACTTCAAAAAATAAAATTTCATGGTTATTATTGCTAAGTCACTGATGCAAAACCATAGCTTTAGTCAGCTGCAAAACTGGGCTAAAAGTATAAGATTCTTAGTGTCTTTCATATCTCCTGACCACTGAAACCCACAATCAGCTTAGCTGTATGTTATGCTTCAGTTTTTACAAAATGACAGGCTGGATACCAGTGACAGATCCCTCAGACAGATAATGACCTCAGGGAACTGGGATTTATTGCAGATGGTTAGCAAAGGGAAACAAATTTTGAGTTGTTCTCAGAATTAAACACCTGCAGATAAGTGACTAATCAGGAGAGTTTCTTATGTTCTTACTTGTGTACAACATCTATGTACATTTTATATTGCAGAATTCTCTAGAGCCTAGAGTCTAGACCATGCACATGGGTTATTAATCAAGTAGACACATACCTAGGTACAAGTGCTCAGGCCCTGACTTTTTAAGAAAAAGTAATTGGGAGCACAAATGTAATTATATCACTTTCCAACTTAAATTCTTCAATGGCTTCTCATTGCCGGGAAATAAAATCTGAGCTAACACTAGGAAGTTGCTTGTTATTCTGTCCTTCCTCATCCCCTCTGCAGCCCCATCCTGTTCCACCTTTTCTTTTGCTCTCTGTGCTCCAGGAATACTGACCTTCTTTTATTTTCTCCACATTAGGCCTATTCATGCTCTTTTGTCTGCCAAGAATGCTCTTGCCCAGACCCACTACCCCCTTGATCATGCTATAATGCTAATTCATTCCTCAAGTCTCAGATAAAGCAGCACTTCCTCAGAGGAATCTTCCTTGAACCTCCAGATTAGGTTTTATTCAACTGTCACAAGCTGCTGCTTTTTACCACTGTCAATCACAGTTGAATTGCTGATTCATGTCTTTTTTCTTCATTGGTGTGAAGGCTGGAAGTGTATATATCTCATCTGTCCCTGTAGCCCTGCATGAACCACAGTGTCTGGCACTGAGTAGACATTCTAAGCAATTGTTGAATGAATGAATAAATGGTTTCAGACTGGTCAACACCTAAGGCCACAGAGTCCTCCAACATTGTAAACTTAAGAGGATCTAGTATCCCTTTTCAACCTTATTGGGGCCATTCTCTTTTCCTAAATGCACTAGTGTATGTTCATGCTATAAATCTTCCTGAGGGGCAGAGGAGTAACCCATTCCACCACTGAGCTGAGTGACATTCAGGATCCTTGCTATAGTTTTGTCAGGGAGAATTCACTCTCCTCAAAGATGGGCCCCCATACTATCCAACCTACAGGGTCCAGGTAAATCCTCACACAATATTGGAGCACAGCAGGCCGCTGATATTAAGATATTCTCAAGCTTCCCATCTCACTTGCTTTTAAGCAACAAAATTTGTCATGCTTTTATGTTCAAGGAAATTCCATAATTTCCTGTTCAAATAGCAATGGTGATAAAGAGAGGCAGTGGTGTAGGGCACTTGATGTAATAAAAGTCAGTGTGTGGTTGCCCTGGCTCGTATGGCTCAGCTGGTTGAGCATCATCCCTTGCACCAAAAAGTTACCAGTTTGATTCCCTGTCAGGGCACATGCCCAGGTTGTGGGCTCAGTCACCAGAAGGGGATATGCAGGAGGCAGCCAACTGATGTTTCCTTCCCTCTCACTTTCTCTCCAAAATAAAAAATAAAAAATTTTAAAGGCAGTGTGGTGTCATGGAAAGAGCACTACACAAGGATTCAGAAGAGCTTGGTTCTGGTTCTGGCTGTGCCATGTATTTGCTGAGTGACCTTAAGCATCTAGTTCTCTGTGAATAAAATGTCCTTTCTTTTTAAATTGTATAAATATTTTGGCTATACGGTTCTTATAAGCATCAAATGATATAATTGTATTTTACTATTGTACATAGGAATTGCTGATACTTCAGTTATAAAAAGTTGTAAACTTTAAAATGCTAGGCAAATTGTGATCATTTTGTCACTGGTTCTTAACAGTTTTATCTTCCTCATTTCAGACAGTATCTGTTAACAATAAAGTGAATTTTTATTCCGAGCCATCAAATTGGCTGGTAGAAATAGCCCAGTTCTCATCAGGCTAATAAAAGGAGTTAAAGTTAGTTATGCGTGGTCCATGTTTAAGAGATCATAGAGGATTGGTTGGATATGATGCACCTCCCTGCTTGCCTTAATTATCCTATAGTATAAAAACAGTCATTTAATAAAGTAGTCAATATGATATCTCTGTATGGGTCAGACCCTTGTTGACTATAACACAGCAAAATCTCAACATAAATAATGATTATGTGAATCATAGGCCAGATAAGCTACCACCTACATGAAATAATTTAGAAAACAAAGTTCTGTTATCCTTATTGATGTTCAAAAATCCATGACAGATATGACCATTTTTTCACAATTAGAGATGAAGTTAAAATTTAAATGTTTAGATAAGCAATACAGTAAAATTTTACCAAGATGCTAATTATTAATTGAAAGCATTTTTTAATTACAACACTTGAGGATGAATGTATTACACATAAACTAAATCTTCTAATATTTTGCTCTTTTAGGTTCTGAGACATTAAAATGGATTTGTTTTTAAATGCACTGTGGGTTTTCTTTTAATTATCCTATTCAAAATACCTGTTGTGAGAAGCATACCGGAAGAGGAAATGCCTCTCTAAAGAAAATTGTCATAATGCTTTCCCACGTTCTATGATGTCTCTCAGCAATATGTACTGAATAGGAGCTGCATTCACCTGTGTGGGCACTGGTTTTCATTGCAGACTTATCAACGAATCTTTGCGGGACCAGCTGCTGGTGACCATCCAGAAGACCTTCACGTACACTCGCACGCAAGCGCAGCATCTGTTCATCGTCCTCATGGAGTGCATGAAGAAGAAGGAACTGGTATGTGAGCAGTGCCCCGTGAGTGGCAGAGCCCTCTCCACAGCCCCTCTGTCTGCTTCACTGTTTTTCTTGAATCACACACTGTTTCCCCCTCCCCTGAGGCCCCATTGGCTTCTGTAGTTTCCTCCCCTCAGTAGCTAAGACACTGCTTCTTCTGCCCTAATTTAATGAGAGAGAGGGTTTTAGTCTCATTTCTTATGAAGCTCACCCAGATGCTTCTGAATGCCTCAACAAAATGAGGAGATGAGAGGAAACAGGTTACCTCCAGTGAATCCTCTCTGAAGTTTGGGGTCTCACTGTGCTTGGGAGTTGTGAAGCACTGATGTGCTTGTCGTCAAATAACTTAGTGACAGAGGGTCCAGGCTACATACCCTCATCTACACAGGTAGAAAATGGAGGCATGTACCCAAGGATTGGTGGCAGTTTCCGGCATTTCCGAAATGTCCTCCAATAGCTACTGAAACATTTCCTACATCTGGACAAGGTGACTTACAGAATGTGGGTTAAAACAGAGACCATGTGCTAGGATGAACAGGAATAAAATAAAGCTGATATGCAATGTTCCAGGCAGGATGCTCCATCTTCACAGGTACTAACTCCTGTGATGTTTGCTACCCTCCCAATGAGAAAGGTACGGTTATTGTTTTTACCAGACAAATGAAGATTGATTAGTAAATAAAGAATGAAGACTCAAAACCAGTGGTGGTTAATGCCTGTTGGAAATATCTTTATTCTGAAATTGTCTCACTGAGGCCAGTGTAGTGAACCCACCCACGCTGGGTAGATTCTCTGAAAGCCCGAGCAGAAATAGCCCAGTTCTCATCAGGCTAGTTAAAGGAGTTAATGTTAGTTATGATTGGTCCATGTGATCCTCAAAGGAGCCCACCTGCTCACAGGGGAGGTAAAAGAGCAGCTTAAACCCAGCCAGAGGTTTCACTCAGGTTTTAGACAACCTCAAGGGTACGTGCAAATCCTGGAAGATCTGCCTCTGGGGACACTTGGGGAGCACTTCATCTCCAAAGGGGCACCAGGTCAGACCCTAAAAGGTTCAACCACCGGGGGACAGATAGGGTACAGAGGAGCTGACTCTTAATTGCCTTCATCCAGTTCTGCCACTAGACTGTGAGCTCCTCAAGGCCTGGGCTGGAGCTGTCTGCTTCACCATGGTGTCCCTATGTGTGTCCCCACCGCACAGAGAAGCCAGCATGCCCGTGGGGTTCACCATCATGACCGCTGAGCCTCTATCCACCCGGGGAGTGTCCCTGGCATTCTCCCACCTGGAAGGCAGTTAGCTCACAGCTGTTCAGCTCACTGCTTCCTCTGCCCCCACGGGGACACAACCAGCCCTGAGCTTCCACGTGCTACACTGTGGATTTTCTCCTTACTGAGCACCAGTGATTTCCCAGGGCTGACTGTGGAACTTTATCAGAACTATATATTTCAGCAGTCCTGCAAATTTCCTAGGAAAGCATTAGGATTAAAATTCTAGGAGCCATTTGGAAGTCATAAAACCAAATGAGGCTGAATGTGCTTCTCTGGGTATTTTTTAGGACTGTCCCCTGGGATTCTACCTGATAATCGTCATGTCACTTAATCATGGCTCCTGCAGAAAAGGTCAACTGCCTTTTAATGTGAGATCTTTATTGCAAGATATATGGGGTGCCCCTAGCTGCCAGGTAGGGCAATGTAATCTTAAGAAGAAATGAATTGCCCTTATCTCCACATCTGGGCAGAAAGCAGTTGGAATTTTAAAATCATAAATGGAGTTATAATGATTTCAATCTTTGAGGGACAATTTATGTGCATGGACTGGACAGCTAGGTGCTTGATAAGGAGGTAAGCATTATTTTCCCCCTGAGGAAAGAGGAGGATACCTGAGGCTGGGTGAGGTGCAGGATGTGCACAGCGCAGGCAGGAGGCGCTGCACTAGGACTGCCTTGCTCCGAGCCCAGGTAGCCGCTACCCACTGCGTGGCACAGGGAGCACACAGAACAAGGAACATTGCGTAGTGGGGTTTCTCCTCAAGTTTATCTCTTTCAAGTTTCTTTTGATTCCCTTTGCAAACTAAATGGAGCATAAAATTCTGTCTGAGGTGAGTCTAACCATTGCCAAGTTCAGCTAAAGGATTTGTTTCTGGAGCAAATCTGATATCTTTCTTGTCCCAGCATCCTGGTAACATGTAATGAAGAACTGCACTATGAATGTATATGGAGCTGGTGAGACACAGGCCTCTGGGCCATGTGGCCTCATGGAAAATATGCATCAATGAGTGTTTTGTGTGAATGCTTTCTATTCCATATCGTTCTTGACAAAATTCACTTATCTGCCTATTTCCCACTTTGGGTCGAAACAACATCTCAAAACCTGTCACCTTCTGAGAACATCTATCCCCCTAGAAACCAACCCGTGAGCTAAGTCCCATTATTGTTATCAAGAAAAAAATAAAATTTAAAGAGATTAAAACTATCCACAGCAGCATATTAATTAGGGGGGCAAATGTAAGGGATAAGGAAGAAGGGGACAGAGAGACACTCTTCTTCCCTCCCCAGAGTTACTTTCTCATAGATTCAATGATACGTATTAAACTCTCTAGATTCACTATTTCCTCACCTTTTATCTTACAGTTCATTTTGTCTTTTTATTGCTAATTCCTCTTCTTTCTCTCTATTCTATAAACAAGTATTCATCACATATCAATATTGGCCCTTTCCCCTTTCATTCACTATTCTGACTTCAGTTATTGAGAAAACTTTAAAATGCAAATACCTAGTCTTATCTTCCTCCAAGTGCCTGCATTTCTGAATTCCACATACATCAAGTTTAGAACACTGTTCTCTCCAACACAATGTCTGCGAAGAAATAGAAATACCCTTTGCAGTAGATGCTGGATTGTACCTAGCTACTTTAAAGTTTGTTTGACTATCATCTTAACATTAATAAAGTTCAGACATTTTAAATGAGAAAGTGGAAAGAGAATACAGAAAAAGTATTGCTCCATTAAAAATGGTTTCCTTATTAGTTCTCAATTTATAGTAGGTTACAGATTAAAGTTTTGGAAGTTTTGAAACTCTTTTAGATGATTAGATTATTGCCATTCCAAGAATAAGGATGCTGCAGGCTTAGGAGTCAGTTTAATTTATAACAATGGACAAGTTATTGAATCTATAGAGGCATTTGTTTTGTCTTCCAGAAAGTTGACAAGTAACTGTATTTATATTATTGGGTTAATTATAAGAATTAAATGAGTTAACATATGCAAAGTACATAGAAAGCACTCAATAAATATTCTTATTTTAACAATGATGATTATGATGTTGTATATGTAGCATCTAATATTTAACAAAGATTATTTTATGTCATCTTATTTGATACCACAAACAGCCTTGCTAACATCAGTGTTAGTATCACTATTTTATAGAGGAAAATCAAGACTCAAAGACTTAAGTGACAAACCCATGGTCACGTGGCTAGTTAGTAGAAACCCCATAACTTGAACCAAGAGCATCTTTCTGCAAATCCTGGGCTCTTTTTTCCATATTTCAGCTGATTCCATATTCTAAGCATTAAAATGACTTTGTAGAAGCCCATTTTCTCTCTCATCCCTGGAATAATCTGAACAAGTATTCGTTAGACTCTGAGATCCCTGGAGAAAAAAAAAGAATACATTATTGGTTGCTTTTCCTGGAATGCCCTCTGCCCCAGTGTAGCAGTCATTGTGTTTCTGCAAGGACATTGTAAGCACAATGTCCAGGTCACTTAATATTTCTACATCAAGGGCAAACTAATCTTTCTAGCATAATATTTGACTAGGCTAACTAGAAGCCGAAAATTAAACATCAAGTCATGTCCTCACAAAATAATCATTGAAATAAAAAAGGAATTTAAAAGAATTATCATTTCTACAACTGCTTGCCAAAACAGCTACTAAAAACACCTTTTTTTATGACTAGAGGCCTGATATATGAAATTCGTGCAAAGTAGGCCTTTGCAGCTGCAGTGGCTGCCTCAATTTCCCCCTCATAGCCACAATGGCTGCCTCTATCCCATGGCTGCAGCCCCAGCTTCACCCAGAAGCTCGTCTGGAAGAGCATCTGGAAGGATGTCCAGAGGGTCATTCAGTCAGTTTTCATAGTATGCTTTTATTATTATCAATGTACTAGAGGTCTGGTGCATGAATTCATATATAGATGGGGTCCCTCAGCCTGGCCGGCAATCAGGCCGATTGGGGCTGTCTTGCCCAGTTTCACTCGGGACCAGCTGGCCAGGTGAAGGGCCCTTGGGAGGTTGGCTGGCCGTACTTGATTGGGGCTTGTGGGAGGGACCATGAGAGGTTGGCTGGCCACAGGAGGTTGGCTGTGGAAGCGCATTGACCACCAGGGTGCAGCTCCTGCATTGAGTGTCTGTCCCCCAGCCAGTCATCTGGTCACCTGTCATAATGGTTGCTTAGGATTTTATATATATATAGATAAAGTATTATAACTCCTTATATGGACAGAGTTTTGTTGTATTCCTTGTGCTACTTGAGCTGCAAACAATAGGGCAAAAATTACATCTATTTTTCTGCTAACTAGAAAAATTAAACAAATTGGAGCAGACTAGAGAACTATACAGAAAATATCCATTTGATTTTTAACTTCACTATCAAGATGCCAGATTCTTTCTCAGGATCAACAAAATTCCATAAAATTTTAATGCCCCTGACTTTTTTCAGCCATAACCAGTAGATTATAGACAATAGAAAAACACAGAAAATACTGCACTCTCTTTTTGAGGGGAAAAATAAATAAAAATAATTCAATAACCAAAATGTAATAATACACAAAAACAAGCATATTATTGTATTCACTTTAAGAGCTTAGTTATTATATAATTTACATGACAATTATTTGGGGTTCCAACTCTAGGAAAATATTCCTACATAGTGGGGTGATTCCACACTATATTTCCACTCTGCCCCTTGAATTCTTGGTTTTACAATGACCATCTAAACCATTGGTTTT